CACTGCAAAACTTCTTAATAGGTGGCTTAGCCAAGCACTCCACTACAATGCAAAATACTTCATCTTTCACACCTCATGCTTCCAAGACATTTATCACTCACCACACAGAATCAGAATCTATCTTATCTTCCCTTGCCCAGACAAAAGATAAAAAGTTCAGGTGCAAACCTTACCTAGCTGTGACAGCAAAGTAATCACAGACAAGACCAGAGAAGGGTTTATATTAGTGTCCTCCAGGAGCTCTACAAGGCAACTGAGACATTCACTTGGTAGAATCTGGCTTGAAGCAAAAACCCGGGTAAGCTTCAGTCCAGAGATAACCTGGAGATGAAAAGAGAAAAACAACCTTCCTTACTCAACTGCAATAATGTAATTGAAACAGAAGTCGCAGCAGCACAGAGTTGCATGAAATAGATCATGTCCTACTTGACAAGCTGAGAATTCAAGTGTCATTAAACTGGGACATTTATGTTCACATTTGCTGGGGAAAAAAAAAAAAAAAGGCAGAAATGGAAAAAATCTGTTTTTCATTGCTTTATGCTTGGAAAGTACCAAGTTTATTTATTTTGAAAGAATAACCCAACAGTTGGCACAACAAGTAGCAAAGTTCCAAAGGCCTGGCAGTCAGTGCTGTTCTGGGAGGACTCTGTGATGGAGATGTAAAAATGGAAATTGAGCTAGGGGAACCCTATATAAGAAGAGGCCAAAAATTATATACCTTTACACCAATACAGGTAGACATGATTTATATTTTGCATATGGGAGACACATAATGTTGGTTTTGTCCATTTCCTCTGTATCTCTTTACAAGGGATATAGGGAAGAAACTAAAGCAAGATACTAACTCTCACATAAACATTCTAGCAATTAAAGAAACCTGTATTTGAAAAAGGTAACTTGGAGATAAATTCAAAGGCCACCACATAAATTGTACACAAAGCTGTACCTGAAGATCAGGGAAATGCACTGACCCATCTTAGTAAAAAACACGTTTAAATACGTGTTGCACGGAACTGGAAAACTCCAGATATAAGACCAGCTTGTCATTCATACCCTATTTTTTAAGCTGTGAAACGATTCATGCAGGCCAGAATAGAGGGGATGTGAAAAATGCATATTTTATGATTAGCTTTTTGCAAATACTACAATAAATATTATATGTGTAATGTTAGAAAGTTATGCAGTATTAATTCTCTTAAGTAATGTGTTAAATATAGTTTTAAGTTCCAACATAATGTTAAAATAGAAACTATGTATGTGGGGGGGGAGGTTTTTTTTTAAGAATAAGATACTTATTTCAAAAAACACCTAAATCTTCCAAAGGAGAGGAATTTATAGCTTCTTACAAGAAAAAGACTAATTTCTTCAAGCCTTACTCAAACTCAAAGACGCATAAAAATTAAAGCAAACAATTAACCTACAACAAAGTTTCTTGTTTTAAATAAAATTTATGCTTAACAATAAAAGATATATAAATATGCAACGGGGATATATGATGAACTGGTCTTATATCTGGAGTTTTCCAGTTCCGTGCAACACGTATTTAAACGTGTTTTTTACTAAGGAGATGGGTCAGTGCATTTCCTTGATCTTCAGGTACAGCTTTGTGTACAATTTATGTGGTGGCCTTTGAATTTATCTCCAAGTTACCTTTTTCAAATACAGGTTTATTTTAATTGCTAGAATGTTTATGTGAGAGTCTTGCTTTGGTTTCTTCTCTATATCCCTTGTAAAGAGATACAGAGGGAATGGACAAAACCAACATTATGTGTCTCCCATATGCAAAATATAAATAATGTCTACCTGTGTAGACATACATATATGTATGTATGTCTACACATGTATACCTGTGTAAATGTATATATATATATAGACATACATACATATATAGATGTATGTCTACACATATATACCTGTGTAAAGGTATATATATGTAGACATACATACATATATGTATGTCTACACATATATACCTGTGTAAAGGTATATATATGTAGACATACATACATATATGTACGTCTACACATATATACCTGTGTAAAGGTATATATAATTTTTGGCCTCTTCTTATATAGAGTTTATACTGTTTTAAAAGTAATCCCTTTGATCCTAAAGCATACTTTTCGTAACTTAGTATCCAAGAGCATCCAAACGTCCATAATTTTTAACTTTTTGTTGTCTTATAATTGCCCTAAACTTTAAACTTTATTTAAATTGTCCTAAAACTCTAAACTTTATTGCTCTAATTGTATTATTATTTTTAATAACCATTTAATTATTATTATTAACCTTTAAAAATTTAAAAAACCAAGTGATTGGCACTTTTCACAGGGGATAAATAAAAAAAATTAAGTATATTATTATCATAACTATCTGCTTGGCTGGGCGACTACAGACTCAGAACACACCTTTATAAACACACCATAAAACCAGACCCCACCGCCCCCCTCACGCGGCCCCGGCACGGGCGCGGCTCCCACCTCCAGGCCTCGCTGCAGCATGGCGGCGCTGTGCGCTGTCCTGGCGGCGCGGTACTCGGCGGCTGCGAGCAGCAGAGCCTTCATGCAGCTCGGGGCGTCCATGGCGGGGCGTCCCCTCAGCCGCTCCGCCGCCGCCTCACTCGCATTTCCCGCCGCCGCCGCCGCCATCGTGACGCGGCGGGCGGGAGAGGCCGCGCGGCAGCACGGGAGGCGCCGCCGCCGCCATCTTGGTTAAGGGCGGCACGGCCGGGCAGCGGCCGTGGGTTGTGAGAGGCGGGAGAAGCGCTGAGGGATGCGGGCAATGCGGGCGCTCGGATCGCTGACAGCGGCGATCCACAGGGAGGATTTTCCTAAGCGGAGCTCTGTATGGCCGGTGGGAGCTGAGCCGCCCAGTCTCTGAGGGGGCCGCCTCCTTTTGGAGCTCCTTTTGGAGCTGCCGTCCCTTCCCACCTGGCGCCCTCAGCCCTGCCTCGCCTTCCTGCTGTCTTTCCAGTCCCCCATTGATATGTATTGTTACGTGTAGTGAACATAATTCACGCCGTTCCTTGTATGAAATGTGTAATATAACTTGTTAGATTATGCTCGTTTGGATTAGAAGCCACCCCACCCTCGCAGCGGGACCTGATGTATATTTGAACCCGATTTACACGTAAAAGGATGTGGCTCAGGAGACGGGCCGTGTCTGGAGAGATACGGGACCCCAGGTGCTGATCATGGCATAAACGACCCGAGATGGATATTATAGAAATATTATAGAAATCCTCGGGCAGATACATGTGAATGCAGCGTTCCTGTACATTTCATCAAGGGATTCAACAACTCCAGGCACTGAATTGTTCTTCCTCATCACTAAAAAAGCAAATCTTATTAACCTATGGACTCAGAATGGAAGAAAAGACTGCCGAAATCTTGGCCTCAGGCGGAATTTTCCCTATAAAACCCGCTTGTGGCAGGATGGAGGTGTGTGGGCATAGGGGAAACCTCTGCTGGGTCTGACTCCTTCTTGCACACCCAGGATCGATCCCCAGGCTCAGCACTGTGTTTTTCTTTTTTTTTTTCCATGGCTGGCTAGATAGAATTTGACCACTAATAAAACTATTTTTATTTTTAATTTGGCTGAATCAATTTTCATTTATAACATGTGTCCAAGAGCATCCAGACATCCGTAATTCTTTGCTGTTTATTGTCTTGTAATTGTCCTAACTCTAAATTTTATTACTCTAATTGTATTACTATTTTTATAATAATTTTATTATTATTATAAAACTTTAAAAAAATTTTAAAAACCCAAGTGATTGGCGTTTTTCACATACACGGATTGTTTTCTGCCATATTAGGCCTGCAAATAAAATATGTTTAAGAACATCTGTATCAGCCTCTGTATTTCCCTCTACTGTTAACAGGACAAACAACGTGCTGCTGGAGTGTCTCAGCACAGCAGTTCCTCAGTCTGGTACCTGTGATAATTTGCTATCAGAAAGGCTGCTGGATTCTGCAAGTGAAGAGACATGTCAGCTCTGTGCTTCTACAGAGCAAGGGCTGGGGTGTTTATGTCCCAGAGTATCATTTTTTCATGGACAACTACTTTCTTTTCAATTAATGAAGTTTTGGACACATATTTTAGTATTTCTTGGCATTGCTAGGGTTAGTTAATAGTCTAGGTTGGTTTTTTTGTCTCTTTCATGCTACAAAAACTAGTTGAGCCTGGAGCCAAAAACTCTGCAACACTGTTAAATTCATAATGAAGTCCAAAGCACTGAAAGGTCTAAAATTCCTTTGACAAATAGTGTGAGAGAAACATAATAGAAAAAAAAATCCAAACTAGTATTACCCATTAAAATACAAAAATAATTTGTGAAGGGTCTTACACAAATGTCTTCCTCACAGTCTCAAATGGTGAGCGAGTCTGTAGTAATGACTGGAAGAGTCAAGACATACATTCCAGTTTTGGCTGTGGCTGCTAGTTGCAGGCCCCCTTCAGAACTTAAGTATTTATTAAATATTTAAAATTTGGGTTAATATTAAAGCAAATTCTTGCATTAAAGAAACTAACAAAAATAAACAACAAAAGACATATACATAATACAGAACTAATAGCAGCAGAAAATGGAACAGAGTAAGCATTCCCATATGTACAGAACCTATTAAAAAAGGATGTGTTCATGCTGACATTTATGTAGAACTTGTAGTCCTCTTGTAACCTTCCAGAGCTGTTCCTCAAACTTAAAAGTATTTCAAACTGTTTTCTGTCGCCCTGATTCTTGAGTTTTCTAAAGCCTTCTGAGTTTACATTCTATTGGGAAACTTTCCCACACAGTTTCTGTAAATAACGTGTTATTTTGCATTCCTTCATGAGAGTAGAGAAACTTAATATACTAGTGGTTTGTCCAATGTCTTTGGAGAGGTGGCCCATTTACTCTCCAATCCACTGTCACCTTTGGAAAAGTATAAAAGTTGGAATCAGAAAATAAACTTTCTCTTTTACCTTGCAAAGTGGCAAGTGGCTCGCGTTGTGCATTCTCGTGTCCTATTGCGACAGTTTTCCTCTGTTTGGTTATTTTTTTATGGCATGGATTTAACACAGCATTTTTGTTTTAATTTGTATTATTCAAATGACAGATTACTAGTATTCCTTGAGATTACTGAAATACTATTAATTCCTCCAGGGCACATCCTGGAATGACAGCTTCCCAAACCTTCAGGTACAGATCCTTCAGGGTAAGACATCGACATAATCACCGCCGTCATCAATTTCTGGGAAGAAATACAAACAGAACAAGATGTCATTGCAAGGTTCTCTTCTGAAAGGCCATGGGCAGGGCAGGTATCAGTAACTCAGTTTGGTTTCTCGGTGTGCTATTGCAGGACCAACATTTAGGCCCCCAGTCCTATGGGCTGGATTCTCCAGGGAAAGGCAAAGCCTGCATTGCCCCAGCAAGTGCTGTTGTAAACAGTTGTATCCACATGATAACCCCTCCTTCCTGAGGAACAGTCAAATGTCAGAAATCATCCATTCTTGGTAAATCAGATCAGTAGCTGAGTATCTGTGACTTTCATAATGCATCCCTTCTTGTGTAAATAAATGACCAGGAGGAGAGCCTGAAAAATCCCGTTCTCTCTTAGACTTTGTAAGATTACGGTTTTTGAGAAGCCAGGGAAAAGGCAGAAATTTAATGCTTGGAAATAAAACTCGAATATGGAAACCTATTGCTCTTCAAGCAACTCTTCCTAGGCTAGAAAACAAAGCTCAAATATCTCCACTTCATATATTTTGGCATTGAAACGAAAGGCTTTGTTTTCCTCCCTGTGGGTGCAGATGAGGACATTGTGCATCTTCTAGAAAAATTCTTATTGCAGGACCAAAAATAAAATCCATATTACACCTGATTCTTCCTAAAAACATATCCGTGTTGCTGCAATATTTTCTGTCTCCCTGCAACAGCAGTGATAAGAAACCATAACAACATTTTTAGAGCAAATGTGGCATATTTGCCATGTGATACAGGTGACAAGAAAATGTTGATGACGTGGGAAATGTGTCTCTGTGGCTTCCCCTCAGCAAGGTTGCTGGGTCTGCCTGTCAGAGGCTGAAATACTTCATGCCTCAAACTTTGATATAAAGTTCTGCTCATTGTAACAAGAACTGTATAAAGAAGCTTCAACCAAAGAAGCCTCCCTGAAGTTGCCTGACCGGAACTTTGGACTGAAAGTCAAACTAGTGAGATTAGATAAAGGAGAGCTCATTTTTCAGTAGCCTGAAACAAACAACTAAACAAGGAAAAGAATGTGAGCCAAACCCAGCAGCCATACTAAGAATCATCTCTGCTTCACTTTGGGGTGGGGGAGGCCATAGCCCACAGACCTCTTTTCTGGGAGGAGATTTGCACAGATTTCTCCCCCAGCCAAGGTGGGGGGAGGAAGTTTTGGCATTTTGCAACCTCTACTTTGGGGCAGTGAACCCATCCTCCCTTACACAAACTGGCTATGGAACCCCCAACCTTTGTAAGACCACATCCATGGGACATTCATGTGAGAGGCAGCTGAGGGAGTGCCTTAATCCATCAAACACCCCCCTGAAGTATCTCCCAGAGTTGTTCCTGAAGCCTTGCACCACAGGACTGCACGTGATGCAAAAAACCCAGAGTCTGTTGTAAGAGACAATGGCAAACTTCCCCCTGCCCCAGGAAGGTGCCTGGGTTTTCCTGCCCAGCCTGAGTGTATATTAACCCATCAGATTCTATTGTTGAGATCCATGGAGTGGTGATATTTTCTGTCACTCTCTTTCTGTCCCCCCACCTCTTTCTCCTTTCTCTTCTTTTTACTCTCCTTTTTCTCTCTCTCTTTCTTACTGTCAAATAAAACTTACACTATCATCACTGGCGTATGGTCTCATTTGCACCTTAATTCAGGCAGAGGTATTTCTAATAACTTTAATAACTAGATCATAACACTACCCCACACCACCGTGCTGAGCTGCTGTTGGGCATGAGATGCAAATCACAGGCCAGGGTAGAGACTCCAAAGTTTTGTTTCCTTTATGATATCTGCACTTAACAAAAGGATTTCCCTCACTCACGTGTGCCCTGGCTGGGGCTCTCAGCACACTCTGCCAGAGGTCATGGAACAATCCCAGGGTTATTTTGCAGCCCATGGCCTGATGGATGCTGCAGCTCAGTGTTGTACAGCAGGAACATGAAGAATGGTGTGAGGGATACTAGCAAGTTATCAACAGTATCTGCAGTCATGCTTTTCAAAACAAAGATGTAAGGATGACATGGGACTATACAACATAGTCTAAAGCTTTATGAGAACCTCTGTCTTTATTGTATTCATTTTCATAATTCTGTCAGATAGAAGCATCATATCTTTGTCCTGGTACTCATGAGCATAAATTAGCAGAAGAAGATCATTGAGAGACTGAACTCTGGTTCCAAAGCTGTAATCCTGAGCACAAGGCTATATGCTTGTTATGTTTGAATACAAATCACAAGCTGCCTTGCTTGCCTGCCCATCTTAGAACTAACTGAGTAAGGTTTTGATATAAAAGTATCTTGGAACCTGGATAACAAAGGTAAAGGACAGCCTCAACCCCCAAGTGCAAGGCCTGGTACCTTGGCAGAACCAGTAAAACTGGTTCTCAGCCTTCTCCAGCCTAGAAGCATCAACATCCACGAACAAGAGAGCTGGAGGCAGCTTTTTTCATCATTGTGTGTCTCTAGTGATTTTAATTTGTTCATTTATAGTGGGTGAAGGTAAATAACCTGTAAGAATAATCATTTCAGTGAACATAAGAGAGAAAAGAGGATGTAAAAAGTCTGTCCACGCAAAACAATGTTTAGCAAGTGTTCACCGCAAACATGTCAATGCTCTTATCTTTAAAAAACCCACAAAGGCAGAGCTAAGTTTCTCACCATCATAAATGCTGTCCATTCCTGACTTGAAACTCTGGTTTCTTCTCAAGGCCTTCGGTTTCTTCACTGGGTAGCGGAGGTTTATTACCAGTCCTTGATTTGGCTTTTCAAAAGCATATATTAAGTCCTTTAAGGTTTTGAAGGTCCTGTCTGGAACACCTTCAGAAGTCTGTAAGGAAAGGATAACAAAATGTGTTTGCAAGTTCCCTTCACATGGAGTCCCTTAAATGAAAAGAATGACAAGTTGTTTCTTATTTACCAAGCAGCTGTTTTGTAAACATGTTTGCTGACAGAATATTGCACTGTCCTTAAAACCCTAGGGATACCTGTTTGGAGTCATGGTTATGGCACTAAAAGTAACCTCCCTCACCATCTTTTTTTTTTTTTTTAGAAAGAACATCAGTTAAATTATTGGTGTAGGTATGTGCTGCAACAATCCACTACAGCAGAGTGTTGAAGAGTGACAGCATTACACACTACACTGGTCTGGGAACAAAAGTTTAGGGATAACCTATTTAGTTCTCACTTAAAATGCTGCCTTTAAAAAACTAGGTGACAAACAGAACCCAAACTTTTACAAAATATCAGCATAGGGAAGCAAAGGCTGCGTGCAAAAAACTGTTCTTTAAGTGTGGGCTCATATGACAGGATTGAACTGCTCCTGCAGCTCAGCCCTGCAGGGATCTGTGCACAAACTTTACAGTGCTGTGACTTCAGGGCATTGACAGACAGTGAGCAGCCCACTAGTAGTCATTAAATGAGAACAGGGCTTTGGTTTCACTTAATCTGCTAGCTAACAAAGAAACATGTAATTATTTTCTTTGGTTTTCTGCATCCTTCCTCTTCCATTCAGCCCTGGATGGACTGGGTGCCAATGCCTGTGTGTACTGGGTGTACTGGGATGATTTAACTTCATAGCATCCTATATAGTGCTGTGCTCTGAATTTGTGACTGAAACAGTGCTGATAACACAGCCACCTTTTGGGTGCTGCATTAAGGATGTCTTTCTTGCACTTGGTTCCCCTGAGGAGTAGGCTGGGGGTGTGCAAGGTGCTGGCTGTCCCATCTCACCCCATCTGACACTGTAGTCAGCAATAAAAGCCTAAGGAAAGGGAGGACATTTGTGGTTATGTGTGCTGAGGCCTCACGTTCCAGGAGGTTGCTAAATATCTGTGTCCTGATAGGAAGGAGTTGTTAAACTTCTTTGCTTTGCTTGTGTGCACAACTTTGCTTTACCTATTCACCTATTACAGTGTATTTTATCAGATCCAGGAGTTCCCTCACTTTTGCTCTTTGTGTTCTCTTCCCCCTGCCCTGCTAAGGAGGGAGGGAGAGAGCAGCAACCTCCCTGGTTGGGGCCAGCCTGCTGCACTCTAGAAAGCTCATGTCTGAATCTGGCATTAAAAAAAAACACAAAACCCAAACAACCTCTCCTCTACCGTCAATACATTATTTCAGTCAATTATTTTAGTAAGCCAAAATTATCTGACTTAAATTTTTTAAGAACTGAATTGTTCTTTCAGTTTATTGGCAAAACTTTATAAGGAAGAATGAGTTTGAAAAGTCTAAAAATATCAGTGTAACCTGCTGACAGGAATGACAGCATAACCCCAGCAGAGTGGCTAAGGTCCAAAACAGAATATTTTTTGCCAATAAACCATTCTTCTTCATGGGAAATTGTGTCTTTCATACACAGGCAAAACCACTAATAAGCAATAAATTACCAGCATATGAGAGCTTGGAGTGTTCTTTATGAAGTGATTTCCTCATTCCACTTAAATCCTGCATAATATTGGCAGTCCTTTTGGCTGTGCTACTACAAGCAGGGGAGTGAGCCAGCTTTTAAGTGTGCTTTCACATTGCTTGGGGATTTAGTCTCACATTTGTTTTACCTGAATAAGCAGCATTATTTGGCATTGTCACTTCAGGTGCTTCACAATCACACAGAATTATAGATTCATTAAATCAAAAAGATCATTGCAATATCCCAGATCCCTATGAGATGCTCGATTTACTAGCAGCACTTTCAAGTTGAAAAAGGTAATTAGGCAATTAGAACGGGAGAAAGTAAGAAAAGTACCAGATATTTCATCAATGCTATCAAAAAGAAATGGTCAAATGAGAAAACAGCTGGTTAATAAATAACAGAGCCACTTAGAATATAAAGAAATTCTACAAACACAAGAGCTACTTTTTGAGTTCATCTATAATAAGAATTGAGTAGAGAGCAAACTTGGAAATATTTTCTATAGTATTGTGTTTATGGATTTTTTAAAAATATATGATCATAGACTAAAATGACAATATATTAAAATGATCATTGATCATAGATTAATCTAAGATCTTTTAATTTATTATTTTTTAAAAATCTATTATCCTTAATGCAATCTTTAGAGATGTAATGAGAGTTACTCACCTGTATTCTAAAATATCCTTGGTGTTCTCTGAAGATACGGTAAGTGTAGATGAGGTCCTCAAAGCTATGAAAAAACATTGTATACATGACACATCACATTAACAAAGTGGACATAGCTGCAAACAGTATTAGAGACATGAGAAGTGCAGTAAAATAATAAGAAGCAGAGACAGGAAAGCAAAATATCGTAGAGATTACAAAATGCGTGAAAGTTTAATATCTTGAAATGCAAGATTACTCTGACCAGGGATTTCAAAGAATATATGAACTAATATATGAACATTGACCTTTAACAAGGATAATTTAATTCCACAGACATCACCTCTTCTCATCTCTCTGTTATCTTCCTCACTGCTCTAACCTTTTTGCATTTCTGTCACAAGAAGGCTGTTGAATTCTTAGAGAGATGTTGGCATGAAATGGCCTCCAGTCACCAGCACCCAGAAACTGACTGTATGGCTCCTGCTTCTGAGAATATTGTTCTTCCTTTGCATTCCCCAGGGTTTTAGTTATTGTTATTTTTGATAATAAGCAGGTGTTTGAACACTGAGGCTACTGATGTCTTTGAATATATTTTATCAACAGAAATAAAAGCTTTATCAGCAATTCAGGAGGTGGACTGAAGATCATGACTGTGGTCAAAAAAAGAAAATATACATCACAAATAAGTGAGGGTGTTGGGGAGAGGGGGATGCAGCATCTGAAAACAAGTTTTTTAACTTGTGTGCCTGTTCATCAGGAGGACTTCAGCTGTGGCTATGTGAAGTGAACTGCCATGAGAAGGAGGATCTTGGGGCAGAAAACTGCTTCAGGGCACTTGCACATAAGTTAAGGGTTACTGAAAATAAACAACTTTGTTCTGAAAAAAACTTACTATGAACTGAGATCAGAATAAGGCTTTCAGTTATAACAGATTTAATTTAATTCAAGAAGTGGTATCACAGGGATGAATATTTTGTTTCTGTAATTTTTACAAAATGAGCATGAAACTACCATTAAAATGGAAACTTCTGTCTCCTCATTAACTACTAAATGCTTACCAAGAGCTAGTAAAGGGTACAAATAAACAAAATGTTTGGTCTGGAAGCAAAGTGAGGTGAGAGGGAGAATGGCACGTTGAACAGTAAGGAGAACAGTAGCAAAAGCAGCAGGTCTGAACTGAGGTGCTGTCAGAGACCTGGGATAATTCTAGATGAAAGAGACACTGTGCTGTGGAGGAAAAGCCCTGCACCTTGCTCGATTAAAGGAGAGATGCATTAGAACTGGTCACACCATTCTGCCTCCCAGGTCCTCCATGGAAATGCACTCTCCTCCATATCACAGTAAAAAAGGACAGAAAGTTTGTTTGTTTGCTGTAGCAAGTGGATCAGTGTCTCTGCCCACAGATCAGTTAATCTGAGAAGGGTTTATCAGTTTGCACATAAACCATGTTAGTCGCTAAACAAGGTGTTGAGATGCAATGCTAATTCAAAAGTTGCCTTTGAACATCACTAAACGTTTCAGTGTTGGTTGCCCCCAGTTTTAGGGCACTTTGCCTCGTGAACCACTGCCAGGCAGCCCAGTTTCTGGGGCAATTCTCAGCCAGTGCACTGATACCATCCCATGTGCTGTCTGAACATAAGCCTTGCTCTGACCTGTGCAAGCCACCACCTGTGTACCACTGCTGCTGCTCTCACAGTTTAACTGTGGCATTTGTTCATGTCAGGATTATAGAAAAATCCACTGAACACTTCCATTTTTATCAGCTTTTAACACTAAAACCCACAGAGGCAAACTGGAAGTTAAATTTTTTCATGTGCCTGCGCAGAATATTGTAGCAGGCAGATGTGACAGGGCAAAGTATGTCTGCAAGACATCACAAGGCAAATCTGCTTTGCCCTTTAAAAAAAAAAAAAAAGAAAGATGAAAGGAAAAGCAACTGTGTTGGTGTGGCACAAAGCCTAACCCACTGTCATTCTTCCTCTGTGTCCCCAACTTGCTATTTCTCTTCTACTCATTCTGTTATTTTGCAGATCTCCTTTCTTCTACCCACCAAACCAACAGTACTCCATTTCTCTCTCCCCTTTTCTCCCCTCTCCATTGATTTGTTCCATAAGAAATTAATTTTTAGTGATTGATAAAAACGTCTTCTCATATTTGTTCATTAATTAGATGTGTCAAAAGGTTTTCATGTCACACTCAAACGTACCCGCAATGAGAGTGTGAAACTTCATAGGTTCAAAGAAACACCTAGATTCTAATTTTTAAACTTTGCATTATGAACAGATCAATTACATATGAAAAGTGTAAAAAGGGAAATAAAAGTGCTATTCCCTACAGAACAAGAAAATAATAAAATTTTAATTGTAGCAATTAAAACTTTGAACTAGAAATAGCAGTTTTCTAAGCCCATCTTTTCTGTGGATTTGTCATATAAATTCAAACAGAACTTTGTAATTTTCAGCTTCAGCTATGTTCTTATATCAGTTAAAATTCCTTTGAACCACAAGGCTGAGCTTTTATCAGACAGAACGTCTACAAAAAAGGAAGTGTTTTGTAACACGCCATGAGAATTTTCAGTGTCTCAACAATGCTAAAATGCTGTTTACTCATCATTACAGAGGCAGTTTGAGCAAGGATCTTAGCATATTTTGGCAGGCTGAGGTATTTTCTCTGGGCTCCCCTTATTCTCTGCAGAGAGAGACCAGCATCACCAGATTATTAATTTATCATCTGTTACATAAAAGAGTTTTTTGGAAATGCCGCACCCTCACTAGTCACTATAAAGGAAACCTAAAGCACCACTTGAATACTTGAATAAACACACTCCCTTGTAGTCTGTTAATATCAGGGAAGAACTATCAATGTTAGAGAAGATGATTGTTGTCTTTGGATCCAACTGCAAGCTGATAAAAAATCGGCGTTGGGATACTTACAGAACACAGAGACACAAGGCTCCTTCCACACTCTCACTCTCCCGTATTAAATAGCTGCCATTCTTTTTCTTCTTGCTCAGCAGCTCTTCGCAGGTTTTTTTTGTTATCTTCCCGTGAAAAAATGGGAATTCCATGGACCAAAGAAAACAAGGTATCTTGCCTTTCAAAGCAACTCTAGAGAAAGTCAGAAGGCTGTCATGAGAAGCAACCTTGCTCCAAAGGCAGCTTGCTGTGGACATCTGAAGCTGGAGGTGCCAAGGACACACAGGAGCTCATCTGTGTTGTTTGCTGAGCTGTCCCCAGTGAGGTGGGGGAACTCTGCAGCTCGATGGCTCATGAGCTCCGTGGTGGCAGGAAAAGGTTGGTCTACACTGGTCACAGTCCACATCAAAAAGGAAGAAACTTCTGTCACATTATACCAGCAGAATTTTGTGTTATTTATCACACCTCTAAGCTATGAAATCACTAAGTTGACACTGAGGTATAATTATATTTTTAAGTTAACTTTTATGTTTAAAGGGGCTCAAAGCCCAGCAAATAGGGTCCTATGCTTCAGGAATGTCAGGACTGTATAGGCGAGGATAAAATTATCTAAAAGGACTTTTCTCTTTTTTCAGGTGATTTTGAGAAGAGAAAATAAGTATGTTTGATATTTGAATCAACATCAGTCATGAAGCTATAGGACGTGCCAGAAAAAAGTTGGCAATTCGCTGTTCATGCAGAGGTTTAAACAAATTTCCTCAAAATAAACTGTAGAAGGACAAAAAGTATTTAATAGAGGAACAGTGTGAGATGCCAGGACTCCTGTCATCCTGATCACAGAGAAAAAAAATCTGTGAAAAAACCAACATAAATACTGATGGAATACTGTAAGCAAAACCAACCATGTTTTCCATGCAGCTGTTACATTTGTGTTTTTTCTCTGACAACTTTGTACACAGAAAAATCTTACCTTAACATTTGTGTGTTTAACTGCAAGTTGATCATGCATCACACTAAGACCATTTCCAGGTGGTATCTTAGTTAGTTGAGGAATAAAGTACCTCTAAAAATGTTCTGTTTTGTCTCAAAGAAATGTAAAAACTTAAGAAAGAAAGATATACCAAGAGAGAAACTGAAAAATGGAAAGTCCAAGGTGCTGCTGTTGCTGAGGTCTGTCCTGCAGTGACCACAAGTTACTGATAAAACAAGTCCTGACCACCAAGAAGATGAACTTGTTTAGATATTTAGATCCTCCAGTTTCAGCTGTCTGCAGACAATTGCATTTGGAATAAGTCTTATTTTATCCTCCAATGGGATGGGGATAGTGATATTGGGAGGGAAATATCCTGGTCTTGTAAGCATCCTTAAGAACAAACATCCTTATGTGACAAAGATTCACCTTCTTATTAAATGCACTAGTATTTTCTTCAGGTTAAAACTGTGGCTTTTTTTTCTACACATTGTATAACTAAACATTTTCCATGAGGTATTGTGAGGTGAATAGCTTTTCCAGAAGCCCAGCTCTGCAAATGAAGAGCAGCAACTGCTCAGCACTGTCCTGCTTCAGGCAGGTTCTCTGCTTGCATTGAAAGGAGGGTGGATAGGAAAGAACTGCAAATTCCTCTTTTGAGAAGGTAATAAATAGACTTCACAATTTTCCCTGAAGGTCTCATTACCTAGGTGCAGAAATATAAGACAGTAGTTTCAGTAGATATTGCAGATCTTAATGTAGAATTTACTTAAAGTGAAACAGCAACAACACACTACCTGCTGTTGGATTAGCAGAGTGTTTGATTTAAAAAAAAAAAATCTTAAGAAGGAGAAAGTGCTTGAGGAGAAATGGGGCTGAGGTCTCCTTCCAGCAGCAGTCACCACCGACTGGCCTGATCACCTTCCTCCTCAGTTGTGTCTACAGCTCCCTGAGGGCATTCAGGAATTAACATTGAACTTTTACCTCACCTTACCTGTCTGTACTATTATACAAGTAGTACAAGTAATATAAGTGGACCTGAGAATAAGATAGAATGCTTGATTTACAAGCAGAAATAATTTAAATATCTAGAGAAAAGGGTCTGGGAGGGAGAAAGGAGAGAGGCTGTAAATGTGGTTTGGTCAGTCACTAAATACGTGTGGCTGTGGGTGTATGTGTGTGGTTTTGGGGGCTAATCCAGGGCAAAACCACACAGCTTCTGCCAAATACACAGCAGGGCTTTATTCTATTTGGGGTACCTGTTGGTGGATGCTTGTGTAACACCTGGCAGGGGGGGATTTCCTTGTCAGTCCCCATAGAGCTGCACCATGAACCTCACCACAACTTGGATGCACAGCATGGAATCTTTACACTGCCTGTAGGGGTCACATAACAATATATTTCCATGTAGCCTAATGTAAACTCTGAGCAGACATTTCCTAACACAAACATTTCCAGCTTAGTAAATCTCACAAGTATTTTTGGCTTACACAAACCTGCATACCCAGGCAGGTCTGAAGAGTGGTAAGAAATATGACCTGATGATATTAAGTCTGATTAAATGTGTGATGAGAGACCTGGGGAGCTGGAACCAAACTAAGCAATAGCTCTTGTTAATCTGTGCTAAAAGTAATTTTATTTACTCCACTCCAAAATAAAATAGGGTTGTTTTTTATTCCTCATCCACTTAAGGAGATTTCATAGTTCCCGGGATAGCCTCTTGCAGTGACTATCCTTTCAGATGGCAGAGAGCAGGGGAAAACCAAAGTATTTTTTCCTGAGATTGAATCTTGGCCTGCTTCTACCATAGCATGGGGAAAAAACAGAGTTTCTTAAAAATCCTCTGTTTGCTAAAAATCTTCTGTGTGTCAAAACAATCACATCCTTCAGTCAGCCTTATGCTTTCTGAAGTTAATGCAATCACTTCTGAAGGAAATCTTTTTCCATAAGCCACCTTTTCTTGCATTGTTCTCTTTACTTTTCTCTGGCACTGGTTTGGCTACTACTTGTATAAAATTTGATGCCTGTAAATGAGCAAGTCTTCTGATTAGAAGAGGAGGATAGTTAGCCACTCTTCCCTTCACAAATAGGTGTTAGAGAAACGAGACCTGCAATATTTTGACAGCAATGCCAAGCCATTGTTGACCATATATCTCATGGGTTTTCTGCCATTCAGCTGCCTGGACTAATTTTCTTTTTTATCTTTTTTTTTTTTCTTTTCCTCCTGTTATTGTAAAACTTAGCAAGGCTATTTCATAGTGACAGGTTCTGCAATGTCTCCCAGCTGCAGCTCTAGCACAGCAAAGCTCTTGCCAGTGCCTTCTGTAGGAACAGGAAATCTGGGGAGAAGCTAGGCTGCTTCACAACTCTGAGGGTCAGATGTTAATAAATTATCAGTGTGGGATATCAGGCCTAAATAAAAGCTCTGGTCAAGAGCAAAACCAGCAAGGAACTGAAGGTCATTTGTTATCTAGCCAGAAAGATAAAAACAGCCACAATGTAAGAAAACAGAAAGTAAGTTGAGCTCTAGCTAAATATCCTGCAATTTGAGGTCTCGTTGAGCTGTGTTGCTGGGCAGTCCCAACTTACTTGCACTAAGTCCTGTGGCTTACTCTGCCAACAGAACAATAAAGTTTTTGCAACAAGAACTGTTACAGCAAAAAAATTACATTTAATTTCAATTTACAGCTTTAGCACGATATCTACACCAGGCTCTATTTTTGCAATTTACTGTGCCTGGATACAAAGGGATTTTTTTGGTAGTATCTGCTGATGGCAAGATTTACTTGAGACTGAAAGAAAAATCATAATGATGCAAATTCAAGAAGAAAATTGAACTAGTGTGTCTATTACTTAGGGATTGCTGCTGCAGGTGCTAGTGGAGCTCCAGGGAGTCAGAACTCTCTCATTAACTTTCTAATAACATATGAACCTAGGAGGAAAAGCCTGTTTTATAACCCTCTTAACATACTGCCTGTTTTTTAAAATACAAATAAAGAGAAAATGGTAGTTCAGAATGAACTGAGAATGGTAGTTCAAACTTGTCTGTGTTAAAATTTGAATTAAAAAGTCACAGAGCCAAACAATTAAAAAATGTTTACAAGATACATGAATATGTGTAAGTAGAGGGTTTTGGTCTCAAAATTATCTAGAATTTTGCTTAAATGTATATTTATAGGATAGAGTCATAAAACAGCAATTTCCTTCTCACTGGCAACCATATTGTCAGGGTTCAGAGTGATCCATATTCAATTACTCTCTGAGCTTATAATTACTCTGAGCTGTTTGTATTTAAGTGTTAATGTTGCATTTAAGTGTTATGATCTGCCTCTGAGGCAAGGTAACTGAGGCTCTTGTTAATAGATCCCTTGGAGTGAATTAGAGTGAAACAATACTGAATGACCAGTTTATATATGAGGCATACTTATTTTAAAACAATTTCACTGCAACAGAAAGAAGGAATGTAGCCATTTTAGTTCTTTCCTACAAAAAAATAAAAATATATCCTGAAAATTCAGCTTCTAAGACATCATCCATTGGTCTCAAATGTCACATAAATCAATTAATGAAATGCAGTAAGAAATTATCTCAGGTCATGATGCCTCCAAATTACTGCCTTCCTGTTAAGAAATGTGCAAATAAAGCTGTAGGAAGTGACAAACCTCACTTGCACTTAATCATGTTTCTGCACTTCTGCTACATACTCCATCACATAGAACTGCACTGTAAAAGTTGGAGCTTTTGTCTTAATATTTTACAAGACTCAAAGCAGGGTGTTTATCTGTCCTTCACATTTAGAGTCATATTAACAGCGTCATCATTTTTACCTTGTGAATTTTCTCTTACTGGTAGATCTTTTAACCATTACTAATATTTTCCTAGTCACTAACTTACAGTGAGAATGATGTGCATGGCAACTACAGCTTTCCACACTGGAAAAGTGTCACCTTTGCACAATATTGAAAATAACACTTACTCCTCTCCTGCCTTTGCCCCCCATGGTAATTAGGCACTGAATAATGTAAAGTAAACCAGGATAAGAACATACAAACTTCAGAGGGCTTCTTGCATCATTTTCTAAACCACTTGGGTGCCAGCATTTAATTTTTATCCTACAACTACCAAACTTCCTTCACATAATCCTCTTCCTTTACTGATGGTCTGGGCAGCACTACAGAGGGGATCAGAGAACCAGGTACTCCAAGAACGTGCAGTGCATGCACAGGACAAAATGATGGTCCCAGCTCTCAAGAGTTCACAGGACAAGTTCACACAAGGTTTGGATTCATATCTTGGGCAAGACAACATCAATCCCCACACAGGAGCTTATGCTTGAAAGCATCAACTTTGTAAAGCTAAAGGCTAAAACACAAATGGGAGTTTAAGTCAAAGACATTAAAAAATGGGGTCAAAATAATAGGCTAGGAGAACTGGTTAAAGTTGATTTTGTGGAGCATG